GTAAGAAAATGTTGGTGGGAAATGCTGGTAAGACTATGTGATTCAAATGTGAGTAATTATTAACAGCTAATTGTGAATGTAAAAATGTTGGAACTATGAGAATTGTCAGTTTTGCCATCCTGCTAGGTCTAAAATGAATGATTTCATCAGCAAAAAGTAGGATCTTACTACCATCAGAAAGAAAAACCAGGAGTGGAGCACACCTTTTGGACCCTGAGATTCCCACATGCATAGATCAGGGAGGCAGAAAGCTGTGATGACAGAGGAAAGACACCAGCAGTGTCAGAGCATGAGGTAGAGTGGTGGGCTTGGTAGCCCATTGAGCCAGTAAAGTGGAATGCCTTTAAGCAAGAAGCTCAGTTGCAAAGTGAGGTGTCTCTAGGCACTTAATCCAGAAAGCTAGGCCCACTGATCCACTGAGCTTTGGCATGAGAAGAGGAGGTAGGACATTGTCTTCACACATTTTTACAGCACTTGACCCAATCGTTAGTCTTTTCAATCAACTCATGTACATGTGAAAGCTGAATAATGAATGAAGAATACTTAAAGAAAAATTTATGCCTTCCAATTATGGTGTTGAATAATATTGAATATACTATGAACTGTTGTATATAGGGTCTCTGTGAGTCAGAACTCACTCAACAGCACCTAACAACAACAACAACAACACGGTCTGGTAAAAGAAAGGAAATCTGCCAGGATGCTCCTTAGAAGTGAGGGTTATGGGACTTAATCTCACAAGTTTTGGACACCAAGAGGGATCAGACTCTAGAAAAGGACATTGTGGTTGGAATAGCGGGTCAACCAGAACAAGTAAAATGAATTGACACCATGGCTGCAACAATGGGTTCAAACAAAGCAATTGTTGTAAGAATGTCACAAGACCAGGTAGGTGGTGGTTGATTCCATTGTACGTAGGACCCCTATGTGTGGGACCTAACCAGTCTGTGAAGTGCTAGTCTGTATTGTAATACTTAGTATAATTTTCAATGATAAAGTTCACACGAGTGGTTAAACATTAAGGAGTCCCTGGGTGGTGCAGATAGTTAAGCTCTCTACTACTAGCTGAAGCCCCCCAGAGGTGCTTGGGGAGACAGCCCTGGTGGTCTGCTTCTGAAAGACCCAGCCTCGAAAACTCTGGAGCAGTTCTGCTCTGACCCAGGTGATCGCAATGACTCCGAGTCATTGGTGACAACCAAAACATTACCTAATGTGTGCATTTACTTACTTGATTTTAAAATTCTTTTTTTTAAGAAACAATTCACATATCATGTATTTCAATAGTTCATTCACTTCCATAAGAGTTGTAACCTCCCTCCAGGGCAGTGCGACTTCTCAGGCCCCCAGCTGGGGACTCGTGGACCTCACTCGGGAGCTCAGGATGCTCTGTCCCTTTCTATGTTCTCCGCTCCCTCCCAGGAACTCGGAAATAAACCTTTAAAACTGTTAAAAAAAAAATAAAAAAAAAGAGTTGTAGCCATCACTATAATCAATCCCAGTACATTTCTTCTTCCTTGTACTTGTTGTTAGCTCCCCATTTCCTGCCAAACTCTCCTGTCATGTACCTTTGAATCATTGATCCAATTGTTTTCTCTATTAGTTTACCTAATCTGAGTTTCATATCTAGAAAATCATACAAAATCAAGACTAAAAACAAAACAAATTGCCCAACCCTAATGACACAATAAAAGAAAACCTCTGTCAATAACAAAGCAGATATATTAAAAACTGGAACAATTAATATGTTGGGTCAAGAGGGAAATTACAAAAGGTATCACATTTTGGTCCTAACTATAATTATGGTATTCCATACTACAAGGTACCTGTCTGGTAACAAGGCCTTTCTCATCTCTGGTCCATCATCGTCAGAGGGATTCACCAGTGGCTTAATCTGCATGGCGGGGGGAGGGGGGGTGACCCTGCAAATGTGTTTTGGGCCTTTACTGTCATCCACAGCCTTCAGATGTTCAGAATTTAAGGTCTAATACTATTCTATCCTCTGGGTTTGGATTTTTAAAAAAATCATTTTATTGGGGTGGGTTTGGGTTTTATATTGTTTACAATTCATGGATCACACATGCTGGTATGCTTCTTCCAGGTGGACTCAGCCAACCTCTCATTTACATGGCAGCTTCCCTTAAGACATGCCTTTAAGATCCCACAGGCTATTTTCCTGATGGCCAGGCACTGTCTGCTATCTTCACCACACTTTGCTGCAGCGTCCATATCTTCAGTGATTGCTTCATGAGGATATGTATTGAGCAGGGCCATGTCATAAGAACTGATTGTTCTTAGATTGGGGCTATGAATAAGTGTGAGTTCAAAGTCCAGTTACCTATATATGGCTTATATATGTCCCTGGATCACTTTAAACACATCATTATTTTACTGAAAGACATAAATTATCTCCATGGTGCATGTGTAGTTCTATTAATGTTACCATTAATGTAACCACTGGTATAGAATTTTAAACACTGTTGAGAAAGTATAAGTGTTTAGGACAATTTTTTAAAAATTATTATTAAATATTCTTATTGGGGGCTCTTACATCTCTTATCACAATCCATACATTCATCCATTGTGTCAAGCACATTTGTACATATGCTGCCATCATCATTTTCAAAGCATTTTCTTTCTACTTGAGCCCTTGATATAGCTCCTCTTCTTTTCCCCCTCCCTCCCCCACCCATCCTTCCTCATGAACCCTTGATTATAGATTATTATTTTCATATCTTACATCATAGGACAGTTTTTTAGACCATAATACATGGATAGTTCATTTGTGCAGATTCATTTAGGTGACTGGACACTACTTAAATTAGGGATTGGAGATAGAGTAAATGTTCGTTAATGCTCTTTCACAAAGACAGAGAATCATTTCAGCCTTAGGCTAATGTGTGCATTTATTGTGCTGACCTGCTTTCACAACTCGGAGTGGACAGTCAGCGTTTACAGTTTCACCTCTCACAGGTCACTGCATCTTTCCAGAAACTCTTTGCCTATATGAGTAAATTTCTTTATTAACGAAGTCAAGTGTGGTGAAGTATGGTTCCTTAATCTGTTTGATTTGGTTTTGTCTTCATTTAATACAGTGTAGTCCTAGAAGTTTTTCTCTGATATCTACAAATTTCTATTATCTTACGTGGCTATATGATATTCCATTAAATGGATAACGGTCATGTATTTCAGCAAATCTATGTCAATGAGTTGTGAGAAGGATTTTTTCTATTTGTTTTTGGCAGTTAACATCCTTACACTTAATCGATCATTAAAGGTTTATCATAGAGGTTAAAAGCACTTTATTCTTTGTGGAGCCTTTTGTCTTCTCACAGTGATGAGATACTAGCTGGAAACTACTTCCTCTTAGGTTGGATAGAAACCTGGAGGTAGCAGCAAAAAGTCTCCAACAACTGTCTATATACCCTGATGGAATTTTGACAGTTAATCCTGCCCTTGGGAATTAACAGACCAGTAACAAATTTAAGTAGGTTTGTTTCCTTTCAACATAAGAAATTAACAAATACCTGCAAGAATATGAAAACGTTGCATAATCATGTGACTATATGTCAGTAAACTGTTTAATAAGAATACGAGAATGGTAAACATGAGTCCTCTTGGCTTCAGAAGCTACATAGAGTCATTCTCTTTTGTTTTAATCCTTGACCTTGCCTCTTCCCTCACATTTTGAAGCAAACATTAGATCTTATTTTATCCACAAATAGATCATACTCAATTTTTATAGTGGTATTGTGGTGAAGCATGGTTTCAACTTCATCTCTTAAATGTAATTTGCCAGAGATGAGAAGACAATTCCCTACCAAGCTTAAGCGGAAACACTTTTGTTATATTATCACAGTTTGGCTATTGGGCAAGAAATGAAAATAGCTCAGTGGATTTGATTTTATTAAAACCAAATTACCAAACTCATACCACCATCGAGTTGATTCCAACTCATAGCCACCCTGTGGGTGCCTCGCTGGGTTTCTGAGACTTTTTGTTTGTTTTTTTAAATCATTTTATTGGGGCTCATATAATTCATCACAATACATAGATCAGTTGTGTAAAGCACACCTATACATTTGTTGCCCTCATCAGTCCCAAAATTTGCTTTCCTCCTGGGTTCCTGGAATCAGCTCATTTTCCTCCCCCCCCCCTCCCCCATGAACCCTTAATAATTTATAAATTATTATATCTTATTTTACACTGCCCAGCGTCTCCCCTCACTCATCCCTCTGCTGCCCATCCCCCAGAGAGGAGGTCACATGTAGATCCCTGTGATCAATTCCCCCTCTCTACCCCATCCCCTACCCTCCCGGCATCGCCACTGTCACTCCTGGTCCTGAGGGGTTCATCTGTCCTAGATTCCCTGCGTTTCCAGTTCCCATCTGTACCGCTGTGCATCTTCTGGTCTAACCAGGTGTGCAAGGCAGAATTGGGGTCATGGTAGTTGCGGGGAGGAAGCGTTTAAGAACTAGAGGAAGGTTGTGAGTTTATTATTGCTATACTGAACCCTAAGTGACTCATCTCCTCCCCACTACCCCTCTGCAAGGTATGTCCAGTTGTCTACAGATGGACATTGGATCCCCATCATGCGCCACCCTCATTGACGATGATATGATTCCCCACCTTTGGTGTTTGAAGCCTAGTCCCTTCGGTCATGATCACACATGTTGGTGTGCTGCTTCCATGTGCTAAGACTGTTTTACAAGAGTAGAAACTGCCCTCAAAGTATTGTGTTAGAATAGGGGTTCTCAACCACCCCTATGGGGGTCGAACGACCCATTCGCAGGGCTGCCCGATTTATAACAGTAGCAAAATTACAGTTATGAAGTAGCAATGAAAATACTTTTATGGTTGGAGGGTCACCACAACATGAGGAACTGTATTAAAAGAGTCACAGCATTAGGCTGAGAACTACTGTATTAGAGATACCCTAATTTAAAGCTGCCTAATATTTGATTTAACCAGTTATGGACATTTTCCCCCTTTTTCATCTGTAGGAATCCTATGAGGATGGTTGTGAAGATTATCCTACTCTGTCAGAATATGTTCAGGACTTTTTGAATCACCTTACAGAGCAGCCTGGCTGTTTTGAAACTGAAATTGAACAGTTTGCAGAGACCCTGAATGGCTGGGTTACCACAGATGACGCTTTGCAAGACCTTGTGGAACTCATCTATCAACAAGTAGGTTGGCTGTTAGTATGTGTTCATCTTCAGATGCTCCTTGAAGCCCAAGAATGGTGGCAACACTTTGAGGGAGGGAGGGCAGGGTAACCATTTGTGGGTCTGGGTACTTTCAAAGCTTTGGTGTAAATTTTCTATAATGAGGAGAGGCTAAAGCTAGACTGGAGTCCAAACTCATTTCTTTATGCATGCAGGCAGTTGTAGGCGCTGTGGATATTTGTGAGGAAGTCACATCTTTGTTGTTTGTTTTAGGATTTTTTTTTCAAGGGTTGGGGTAGGGCTTGATCCATAGGATCTGAAATAATATATTGAAAAGAATTGTAGTTCCTTTAGGTGTTAAATTTGGTAGCATTGTTGGAGAAAGAGATGGGAGATCTTTAATGGTTCATAATGAGTCTTTTTTTAAATCTATAAAATACTTTCCATGCTACCATTTCTACTTATCTTTATTTTCTTTGGGAGTCCTTGGGTGATAAACATGGTTAACATGCTCGGCTATTAATGGAAAGATTGAAATTCAAGTCCCCCAGTGGAGGAAAAGGCCTGGTGATCCGCTTCTAAACAATTGGCCATTGCAACCCTGTACCGCACAGTTGCTGCCATGTGTCCTCAATGGTGACTATTTATAACCTTTAAAATGTCCAAGGACTTACAGCTTAATTCCTTGAGAATCAAAATATCTAATACTAGTCCATATTGTGGTTCTTAACAGTTAAAGGTTGGGTTTTGATGTCAGTATACTGTTCATTGATAGATAAATAGGTGGAAAAGGGAGCCCTGGTGGCACTTTGCTTTAGGCATTGGACTGATAACCACAAGGTTGTCTGATCAAACCCACAGGCACTCTGCAGGCTTCAGAAACCCAAGAAGCAGTTCTATTCTGTCCTATAGGGGCGCTCTGAGTGGAAATTGAGTAGGTGGCCGTGGAAAGGGAGAAAAAAGTATAAATTTTGAAGATTTTAAAACACTGAACAGTATGCGAGACTGGCATATATATGAACAATGTGAACAAATATAAACTGAGGGTTCGTTAAGTCATTGATATTAAAAATAACTCAAATTTGAACTGTGTAGAAGAGTACTTGTGTTGTGATAGCAAGTTATCTTTACCTGTTTCAGTTGGCTGCTTTTCCAAGTTGCTTTGGACTGTTACTGGTCCCTCAGATAATCTAACCAACTTTCAAGTTTCAGGAAATTAATTTTACAAAGATAGGGCCACTGTTTATCCTGATTCTTCCTTTCTGTGTTGCAATGAACTGAAAAGCATTATGAGATAAGAAAATGGAAGAATTGTACTTATTTCTCTTTGCTCTTCTGGTTTCTCCTCTCTGTGATCTCAGTTTGTGAGTAGGTGCCTGGTCCTAGATTGTCAGCATGAGGCAGGAGTATAGCCTGACAAGTTAACAACTGTTTCTGGGGTTGTCCCCAAAAGAATTCTTAAAACCAGGTAGTTGTACCATTTGAAGTTGAGCCTTTTGGGGTCTATGACATAGTTGTATAGTGGCTACATTGCAGTCCTGGAACTGTCAGGCTTGACTGGAGTTAGGCCAAAGGCCCCAAGAAAATTATCTTTGGTAAGATGAACACACTGCTGTGTGTGAAGATATTGAGAAGAAAGACATACGCTGGTGAGTTTAGGAATGTATCTGTGAGAGTGTATAAAAACAAAAGAGTAAATCTGGGAAAGCAAAGTTATGCAGGAAAGGAATATTACATAGTTCAGCTTTAAATGGAAAAGCAAAACTATTAACTGTGGTAAACCTTACTAGTTAGTGCAAGGAGTGGGAAGAGGGAGTATGTGGAGTTGGGATAGAGGAAAGCAGTATGAAAGCTAAATGCTAATCTTCCAGAGTGGAAAATCAATAAGAAAGAACAGTTAGTCAGAAAAACTTCATTGCATGGAGACAGATTAACAAACCTTTTCCAGTGGAAAAGAATGTAAGGCAGTTATGTATGAGAGTAAAATTGAAAGCAGAAAACTGTTGAACCTTAACCTTTATTGAACTTTTAAAAGTCTTTAACCAAGTAGGTGGTAATTTTTAAAGGAAACTAGGCAATGTCATTGTGTGTGTGTTCAACATGAATGGGCTTCAAAAAAGTAATGGATTTTTTCCCACAAACTTTTTTAAGACCTCCCTCTTGTGTGTTCTCAGGAGAAGCCAGTCTTTCTTCTTTAATGACGAACTTAAAAGGTCTAGGAAATAATGGGGAGCAGGGGGTGAATTAATGTATTGTCAGGTCCTCTTAGCACTTGACATATACTTAACTCATTTGAACTTAAATGATTGAGAATATATTACTCTATAGGGACAGCCTTGAGGCACACAGAGATGGTTTGACTTGCCTAAGGTCACCACAGGTATTAAATGGAACCACATGCAAGGCTAGAAGCACTAGGCCATTTGTTAGACATAGACTGGTCAACTATTTTTATGACCTTGGTAAAGTTTCCTCACCTCTTAAAGTGTTTTATCTTGCTGAAATAGATAACTATGTTGTCTTCTGCTTTTCTGTAAAACCTATGATTAAAAGTAAACTTTCTCCCTGATGTGGATACTCCTGGGAGGTCACTCTCCCCGGGCTCTGTCCAGGTGGCACGGAGGAGCACAGGGCTCAGTGCCCCGTGATGTACAGTCCTCTTCCACAACGTCGGAGATCAAGCCAGGCCTTGAGCCTGTGCCTGCATATTCCTACAGCTTCTCAGAGTCCCATGGACAGTGACTGAGGAGACAACCACGCAGGAAACAGCCCTCTGATACACCCCTCCTGAATCTAGGTTCTATTCCATGATGAGTTAGTTAGATTTAAAAAAAAAAAAAAGTAAACTTCCTAAGGGTGATTTTGACTATATTATCAGTTGTTGATCTGTACTATTTTTCTCAGTGTTATATTCTTAAAAGTAACTTGCCTAATTTGAGTTTCTCTTTACCTTAAGTGGTTTTGTTTTTTAGTATTCTTTAGATCAGCAGTTCTCAACCTGTGGGTCGCGTCCCCTTTGGGGGTCGAATGACCCTTTCACGGGGGTGGCCCGATTCCTAACACTAGCAAAATTACAGTTATGAAGTAGCAATGAAAATATTGTTATGGTTGCGGGGTCACCACAACATGAGGAACTGTATTAAAGGGTCTCAGCATTAGGAAGGTTGAGAACAACTGCTTTAGATGTTAGTTTTTGTGCCTGGTAGCATTAATCACATCTTTAAGAGTTAAGAAACAAAACAGAACAAAAGAAGAATTGAGAAATAGACTCAGGAAGGTTAGCGATGCCCATCGGCAGAAAGCAAGGGGCCTAGAAATTGTGTTTTAGACTAGTAGGCCTCGAAGTCTGTTCTGTACCCTTCAGAAATAAGTTATCTGATATTATTTTCCTTAAAGCCTTTTATTGTTAATTAGGTGGGGGGTTTATATTTCAAACTGGCAAATTTTTTCTCATTCATAATTCTTGCTTTGCAAATGGGTACATATATATATTTCATGCAAAGATGAGTTTCGCATGGAATAACATGGTCTGTGGGTTTGCTTTCTGGTGCCAAGGAAAATGCTGGAAGAACTTGGTCTAAATATTTGTTCTTTGTACTTGTGATCCTTGGTGTAAAGTTGGGAGGACGATGAAAATTGATTTCCTTATGATTAAGAATTAGGCTCTTCTTGGTAATATAGTCAGTTATAAAAGTGTTGCTGTAGTAACTTGATATATTGTGTCATGTAAAACTCTCTTCTTTTTGAAAGGCCACATCTATCCCAAACTTCTCCTATCTGGGAGCTCGTCTGTGCAACTACCTGTCGCATCATCTGACAATTAGCCCACAGAGTGGCAACTTCCGCCAGTTGTTACTTCAGAGGTCAGTTTGAATGTATGACATTGAAGGAAATAACTAATAAATGTACTAGAATTTGGCTATTCCTCTTCTCTAAAGATGGCATATAGTAGAGAGTTGCAGTGGCAGGTAGGGAAGACCATTGTTATTTATAATAGTATTAAATATTTCTAGCCAAATATGTCCATTTTTTTTTCTGCTGTCTTTATCTTTGGCTTTGCTTTTTCTAAAGATTCTCTTAAATGGTCACTTACGTATTTTCTCATACTGTCGGTTTCAGTAAGGATATCAGTTTATTTCTTACCACATTTTCATATACAGTACTACTTTTTTGAATAGTCTATTCTTTCTCTTTAGATTTGAATTGCCACTTTTATTTTGCTGCATCTTTTATAAATTTGGGTTGAATTCTGGACTGTTGCTATGTCCTATTAATCTGTTTTGTTTTGTTACCATACTATTAAATTACTCCTAAGTCCTTTATATTTATTCTGTTTCCTTTTCTTCAGTTTTTTTTTAAGTGTAGAATCTTTGCTGTTCTTTCATGCTGCTTTTTTCCCAATAAACTTCAGAATCAGCATGTGAAACTACACAGATAATCATGGTGGTACTTGTGAGGACTTTGGGGGATAATTGAATTCATAAGCTTATTTGGAGCGAACTGATTTTTTACACGTTTTGTTGTCTTACCCAATAACCAGGTGGTCTTAACTTTTGTTAAGGCTTTTCCATTAGTTCTTGGAAGACTTCTTTAAATGATTACAAGTTACTCCTTCATATAGTTAACTGCAGTGGAATCTAATAGACTCTGAAACTGGGCCCAGAAGACATTTGAAAACTAAGCTTTTGATGAAAGTACATGCATAAAATATGGGAGATGTCGACAAAGATGGGCTCTTGTCTCCTTATAAAAATTCCAAGTATATCAAAGACTTAAATAAAAACTAATGAAACGGCATATACTGGAGAGGGAGGGGGTTGGCAAACAAAAATCTTTGGTTGGTGAAGCCTTTATAAGCAAGGGATGCTAACCACAAACCCTTAGACTAGAGATTAATGTGTTTAACTACATACACTGTTGTATGTGGTAGAGTGAGAATTATCCCACTCATGGTGACTTGATAGATTCTAGTTTAAACCAAACCCACTACCCTTGATTTGATTCCGACTCATAGGAAAGAGGAGAGCTTCCTCTGTGGGTTTCTGAGGCTGTAAATCTTTACAAGAATAGAAAGCCTTATCTTTTTCCCACCAGAACGGCTGGTGCTTCCATGAGTTAGGTTTAGCAGCCTAACTCATAACCAACCATGCCAAACAGAAAGTGGAGAAAATGTTTAACACTTGACAGCTGATTTCTGTAATACAGAGACACACTTAGTCTTCAGCATGACTAAGAAAAGACAGGTGTCTCAGTAAAAATGTTTGGAATAGCTTTGACTAGATATGGTTCAGGAAAAAAAAATTAACTTATTATTTGGTAGGCCAAATATTATTGGAAACCACTAGCTGTTCCATAGGATAAAGACGAGGCTTTTTAGTCTTATAAAGGTTTATTGTCTCAGAAACCCATGGACGGTTCTACTCTGTCCCATTAAAGAAATGCAACTATCGCTTCTCAAAAGAGACAAAGGAGTACTTCTAGGAGGTCAGATGGCAGAATGAGTCACTGGTATCCACCAGGGCTGCTGGCTGTGTCTAAGAGCCACTTAAAATATTAAAATGAACCTCGTTCCCATGGAGTCTATTCTGACTCATAGCGACCTGATAAGTTAAGAGTATAACTATTCCTTAGGGTCTCCGAGACTTTAAATCTTCACAGAAACAGACAGCCTCATTTTTCTCCCATAGAGCCGCCAGAAGATTCGTACTCTTGACCTTTTGGTTTAGCAACCCTCCGTTTAACTCAGAACACACCCAGGCCCCTGGAGCCACTTGAGACTTAAAATGGGACTCCAACCCTACGCTTACCTTTAGGATTTTCATGTAATTGGCTGAGGTTAGAGCCTGAGCATGGCCTTTTAAGCTCCCCAAGTGATGCTCCTGCGTGCAACTGTGATCGAGAATTACCCTTCTGGTGCTCCTACTCCTTACTTTGTGTGGTTATAGGATGTGGTTCTTTTGACGATTACAGAGGAAAACGTGAGTGGTACAACAAACCAAAAACCCACTGCCGCTGAGCTGATTCAGACTCAGCAACCCTGTGAAAAAGTAGAACTGCATCATCGAGTCCCCAAGGCTGTAATCTTTACGAAAGCCGTATCTTTCTCCGGACAGTGCTTGCTGAGTTCCAGCTGCCAACTTTTTGTTCAGCTTCTGAACACTTAAGTTCTGCACCATCAAAATTCCTTCAGTGAAAAGGAGGACACAATTCTAATACATAATTTAAGAGAGAGAGAGGTGTGTGTGTGTACATACATACATACTTTGGTAAAAACGGGAAGTTACCTCATTTTTTTCTTTGCTATCAGTGACATTACAGGGACATTATAGTTAACTTTTTTCTTTATATTTCTGTTTTAACCCTTCTGAAATAAGCATATATTGCTTTTGTAATTTGGATATCTTCAACTTTAAAAGGTGTAGAGGTTTTCCTTCTCACCTAGATAATCAACCATGGACAGAGGTAGGAATTGAAATTTGTACATACATGGTTGTACACAACATTGTTGCTTTTACATGCATGAAGTCCATTCTGACTCAGTGACCCCTTGCACCCTGTCCTGTGCCATCCTTACAGTTGTTCTTACGTTAGAGCCCATTGTTGCAGCCACTGGGTCAGTCCACTTGGTTGAGGGCCTTCCTCTTTTTTGCTGCCCCTTTCCTTTTCCAAACCTATGTCCATCCTTCTCCAGGGACTTATCTCTCCTGATAACATATCCAAAGTATGTGAGACAAAGTGTTGCCATCCTCACTTCTAAGGAGCATTTTGGCTGTACTTCATCCAAGGGAGATTTGGTTGCCCCGCTGGCAGTCCATACACGGTTCTTAGCCACTTTCCATGTCTCAGGGTACTCTAAGAGTCATAGCCTTGGCATTTACAAAACCAAAAGGTCATTTCATCCAAGCACTGACTGCAGAGTTGTAAAGGAAAGAGCAAGAAAAGGAGAGCAGCCCGCACAGTGCTTGGGTATCTGTGTCGGCAGTAATTAACAGTCTTTCCATTATTAACTAGGGTGTGCTATTTATAGATGGCGAGACTTTTTTCTTATGGGGCGCTAACTTAATATGTGCGCAGGAGTAATATCTTACTGTACCTAAGTTTAAAAAAAAGAGAGAGAGGGGTTACATGTTGATCTAGCTTTGTAAGGATTAGAATTAGCTACATAGGCGCAGTAAGCTGTGCTGGGAATATGTTTGGGTCACAAAACTGACCCAGTATAAATACAGTCTTGGACAAAATGTGATTTTTTTTTTCCCCCGATCTATTTTTTAAATAAAAACTCAAAACCCAAACTCAATTCTGACTCATCGGTGACCTCAAAGGACTAGATAGAATAGCCCTTGAGAGATGTCTGAGACTATAGCTCTTTATGTGTGGCTGGAAGTTTCAAACTGCTGACCTTGTGGTTAATAGCTCAATGAGTAGCCACTCTGCCACCAGGGCTCCTTTTAAACAAAGCCAACCTAAGCTGGGTCTGTCTGCATGGAAGTCATCTAGTTTCCACAGACATCTTCTCTATCTCTAAGAGAAAAACTGCCATAATCAATTTTAGAAAATAAACAACTTTCCCAGAGTTTTCCCACTAATTTATCAATAAGCTCTGAGAAGCGGGTTGTTGCTGCTGTTCTGTGTGTGGAGCAGATGGACCAAGAGGGGGGGAAATAAAGCAAAGGAAAAGTACCGTATACAGTATACTCGAGTATTAGCAAACCCAAATATCAGCCAAGGCACCTAATTTTACCACAAAAACTGCATTAAAAATGTGCTGAAAACTCGGCTTATACTCGAGAATATACGATAGTTAAAATAATAGTGTCTCTGTAGGAAATTGAAAACAAATAGAAAATAAGTGAATCTGAAAGAAAGCAGAAAATATTAAAAACTAAACAACTCTAAAATAGGTCAAAAGGGAGATTAAATGATAAAGTGTTAAATTGTAACTCCAGTGAACTACTTCTACCATAATCCACTTTCCAGTGAACTCTGCGTGATAAAACAAGGCTATTCACATCCCTGGTCCATAAAAACCTGCTTTTTAACACCCCGCCCCCACCACCGCCCCTCCAAAACCCTCATAGGACAATAAGGGGAGACATTTTCCCCCTATTTGATGCCTTCGTGAAGTCTGTTGCGTATATTTATATTTTATATGTTTAAGCATATTGTAAACTTAATAGTGCTATCTTTAATTAATGCTCAGTTTCTTAAAACTAGGAGTCAAGTATTAAAAGATAATGTCTATTCTGCTCTGTACAGATAGGAATATTTTTATTTATCATAGGAAATCAGGATGTGCTTACCTCTCTATTGCTTGTAGACAGCCTAAAAGGACAATCATCTTGTTTTGCTATTTAAAAAGCAGAGCATTGTGAGGTTATTAAAAGTTTGTCTTTCTTAGATGTCGGACTGAATATGAAGTTAAAGATCAAGCTGCAAAAGGGGATGAAGCAACTCGAAAACGATTTCATGCATTTGTCCTCTTTCTGGGAGAACTGTATCTTAATTTGGAGGTGAGCAAAATGTTTTCTGTTGTGAATTTCTGAACACAGCCTGAGGACATACTTAATATATGTTCGCTGTTTCCTGTTGCCATCTTAAGAGGGGTAGTGGAGGAGAAAGAACTAACAGCCCAGTACCTGCTCAGGGTCATGACTACTCTAAATGTGCATCATAAATTATTAGTGCGTTTAGCACTTTACATTGGTGGCTCAAAGTAACTAACTCGACAGAATGAGAGAGACTGTCACTGTGATTCACAATTCTTTGGTTTATGTATTCATCTTCCACATAAAATCTGTTTTTATAAGGCTTACATCTAAACGCGTATAAAATGGGTTGTTTTTTTTTAAGGTTACATTGTCACTTTATCTGTATAAGCCAGTGGTATCAATGGTGCTCACAGTATCTGTGACATATAGGCAGGTTATATACATAGTCTCTGGCAAAGCCTTCTCTAGAACCATGGCACAGACCCCATAGACAGAGTCCCCTTTGTGAATAATTATGTCTTTTTTCAAGAAAGAGCCACTGGTGATGATTTGCAATGACAAGAATATTTTATGACCAAAACTCACTGCCATCAAGTGACTGTTAACTCATAGTGATTCTATAGACAGTAGAACTGCCCCTGGGAGTTTCTAAGACTGTAACTCTTTTTTTTCCTCCAGTTTTTGTTGTTGTTGATCTGACTTACATTTTATTTTTTTAAATACTTTCACTGGGGTCTGTTACATCTCTTACCACAATCCATATATTCCTCCATTGTGTCAAGCACATTTGCACATATGCCGCCATCATCATTTTCAAAGCAATTCTCTTCCCACTTGAGCCCCTGATATCAGCTCCCCATTTCTTCCTCCTGCCTCCCCTGCCCACCCTCCCTCATGAGTCCTTGATAAGTTATAGATTATTTTTTCCGTATCTTACATCGTCCTCCATTGCCCCTTACCCACTTTTCCGTTATTCTAATTGATCCTTATGATTGATTTCTCCCTTTCTCCCTAAACCCTCCCCTAATCCTCCTGGTATCTCTACTCTTCTTGTTGGCTCTGAAATGTTTATCTGTTGTGGATTCCCTGTATTGCAGGCTCTTATCTGTAGCAGTGTGCATGCTCTGGTCTAATCCGATTTGTAAGTTAGAATTGAGATCATGATATTGGGGCGAAGGAAGCACCAAAGTGCTAGAGGAAAGTTGTGTGTTTTATCGGTGCTATACTGCACCCTGACTGGCTAATCTCTTCCTTGTGACTCCTCTGTAAGGGGATGTCCAGTTGTCTACAGATGGGCATTGGGTCTCCATTTCTTATCACACACACACCCCCAACCCCCATTCACCTTGAGAATGGTTTTATTCTGGGTCTTAGATGTCTGATACCTGATCAAAATGGGGGTATTCTTGAATATGACTTTGTTAGCAGGCAATGTAAGTCCTGAAAGGATTTTTTTTTGAATAGTGAATCCCAGAGGTTTATACCTTCTTAAGGCCTGATTTGATGAAGTAATATAAACACCGTTGAAAAGACACATGAATCATCCATCAAATATGCATCTCAGTGCATGTAAAAGATCTTTGTCCAATCCAGAGTATAATTTACTACCTACTCTGTTTTTTTTTTAAACCACAGATGTACCTAATTAAAAAAAATATTCACGTCTTATTTTTTAGTCTTAAGTTTTATATGAGCCAAAATAAGAGCACCAATCAAAAGTTATACATGCCTCAAACGAAGAGTAATTGTAATATGCTCTTGCATTTTCTATCTGGAAGTAACAATAATAGGTAGGTCTGTAGGAGATATAAAGATACCTGGCTTCTAGACATAAAATTCTTCTGGCAGGAAATGCAAAATGGAGTGTTTTATATACTATTAAAAGTGAATAAAATGCTGTGAATTTAAAGAAGTTTATAATTAATTAAAGAATATTTATTAAGCAATAACTTTTAAATGGGCTTACATTATTCTCACCATGTTATATATGATAAATGAACATTAAATTTTACCTCTGGTGTAATAATTGTTTTAGGAACCTGGCATATGAAGTAGTTCTAATAAAATAATTCTAAAAGTAAAACCTGTATTAACTTGCATATAAGTAATTCTAAATCTGTCAAGATGACAGTATATTCCTATTATTTTTGTACTATATTTTGGCATGATTGATTTTAATTTTCTTCTGTCCCCAAAGATCAAAGGGACAAATGGACAGGTCACAAGAGCAGATATTCTACAGATTGGTCTTCGGGAGTTACTGAATGCCCTCTTTTCCAAACCTGTGGATGACAACTTAATTTGTGCAGTAAAATTACTCAAAGTAAGTTTCACATTTTTTTCCCTCCAAATGTAGCTGTTTTACCCATTTACTAAGTAAGGTAGACAAAGAAGGGAAGGTGTGTATAAATACACAAATTCAAGATAAACTTCTTTAAATATTGACCTTTTCACTTTAACTGCCCTTGAGCTTATGTACTGGGGAAAATACATGCTTGCTGTTTAAACGAAATTAGGAAGTAAGAAATGGAAGTTCTTCACCCCCACCCCCATACGTTTCCCTGCCACCTCTGTCTGTGTGGGCTTAGAAATGCTGTCTTCCTCTGTTGCAGTTTGCTTTCTTTCCACTTAACCAAGGATGGATCTTTTCATGTCAACATGAACAGATCTGCCGGTTGATTTAGTAGATTCTCAGTATTGCTTTGTACACATGTGTATTACTTAGCTACTCGGTTGATGAGCATCTGGATTATTTTCATTTTAGCCTCTACAGCACTATTAATAATCTCTTGTCATCTTTTTATATATGTCTTTATGTTTAACCTAGATCTTTTTGTAGGTTAAATCCCAGCACAGTGAGTCAACAAGCACGTGTCCTTTTAAATGGACAAGTGATGCTGAATTTCCCTCCCAGAGGCTGAGCTAGTCTCTTGTCAGTGACATCATGTTCATACCCTTAAATCCCCCTTCCCTCAGTTGTTGAAATCACAGTGTGCATTATTTATTGCCTGCTGTCTATTTCCACTTGTAGTTTGGTTTGTTTGGGGGTTTTTTGGAAGTCTGTCTTTGACTCTTAATTTTAGCTCTGTGTCTTTTACCGTACAGCTCTTATATTGTACATATCTACTTTAAAAAATGTTTAGGCCTTATGACTGTGATTTTGATAACGATAGAGGTTCTCAGAAAGTTGTTGTCAGGACCTCTTCATTCTCTAAATCGAAGTAGTAGGGCTTTTGTTCATATAGGCCTCAGCTAACAGTATTTTGCTGTTTGAAAAATAAAAATGAATAAAACCAAAATTTTAATTTATTAAGTTGCTAAAAAAACCTCCAAACATATAAAAAGTAACTGTTTCTCTAAACAAAAGAATTACGGAGCAGAGTAATATTATTTTACATATTGCAAACTTACTTGATGCCTGGCTTCATTTATTCAATTCTTATATTGCTTCTGCCCTATTGAAATACGTCATTTTAGTTGAATTACTTGGTTGAAGAAAATCTGGATTCATACATATTTTTAGTTGGAAGAAAGAGTATTTTAATAACCTTTTCACTTACTTATGGATGCTCTTTATTGATGTGACAACAAAACTGAAATTGCCGTTTCTTAAAGGAAAGTTGCAGTGTAGAACCAGAAAGCATGTCAATGAACTTTTAATACTGTTATTTTAAAACCCTTTGACTTATTTTGCTATTTAAATACATTTATTTCCTGTGTATCATTTTGTAACATCCTTCATTGACCATTTGGAAAATATTAATTCATTGAGTTTTATGGATCTTCTAAGTGTTTGTATATTTCATTAGACAGTATTTCTAAAACACATCTTTGTTATCACCAGTCTCATATAAAAAGGCTTAGTTAAGTTTTGGAAAAACTGACAGGCTCACTATGTTTGATACAAATTTTCCAAAACTAATTTTTTTGCTGAAGGCTTGGATTTTACAGTAGGTGGTTAATACTTTCAGAAGGTTTTCTCCTGGTGACACAACTGTTCACAAGGGTTCTGATTGTGTCAAGGAGTTACTGAGGGAAGAAAGGGATGCAAAAGCCATGATTAATATTTACAGCCTCTCGTCACCATGCAGGGAGTACAAGTCATTGCCAAGGTAGCAAATCTGTTACTTAAATTTTGTTAGCAGTTAAGTTTCTCTTGGTTAAGAAAAGCATGGAGGTGCCTACATATTAAATGGTAGACAGAAAATAATTAGGAATATGAATTCATTTTGAACAAAGAATGCTTAAATTGCTACTAATATCTTTCTTCTTGGAATTTCTGCCCTTTTGAGTTCCTCACTTTACTAACACCTGCCATTTTAGTTGACAGGGTCAGTTTTGGAAGATGCCTGGAAGGAGAAAGGAAAAACTGATATGGAAGAAATTATTCAGAGAATTGAAAATGTTGTCCTAGATGCAAATTGCAGCAGGTGGGAAAAGTAACAATGTAGACAGCCACTAAATCTCAATTTCTTGACTTTTCTTTGGGGTTGTTTTTTAATCTGCTGTGCTTCACCAGAAAATTTGAAATCTTAAAGACCTATGAAATTCTTTTAACATACAGATTTTTAGCTATGGCTTCTGCTCACTGGCCATTCTGTTCAGTTATGTTCATCAACTGAAATGGTTTAAGGTTTTTGAATAGTAAGATTTAACATCAGTCCACTGCTTCAGACTTGTTCAATAGATAAGTACAGTCAGATACAAAACATATGAAGGATAACCACTCTCAGTGTCATACATTCTACAGTTACATAGAACAAATTTAAGTCTGTTAAAGTAAATTTATGACATAGGAAATTTTGGGAAAATCATAGCATTGGTTATACATTTTAAATTGAAGAAGTACAGTCTTAAGGTCTTGGGGAGGTGCTGGCACATTGTAACTCCCGTTCACCTTGTTTGCAGAGACGTCAAACAGATGCTCTTGAAGCTTGTAGAACTCCGGTCCAGTAACTGGGGTAGAGTCCATGCAACTTCCACATATCGAGAGGCAACACCTGAAAATGATCCTAACTATTTTATGGTAGGTATACGAGTGTTTACATTTAAGTTTTTTTGCTTTTTGCTTGAATTAAATTTTGAGAATTTCTACATGAAGTACATAAAACTATTTTTAATGTCTAAAAACTCTCTTCACTGGCTTTTGGTCAAATGGTGGCAGCCTGCAAACCAGGTAACTAATGAGATGACTTGGAAGCCTTCAGTGAGATCTGGTGAGCTAGAGAAAAGCTCATCTAATGGTATGCGGGGGAGGGGGGACAGTAGTGGGGGGATGTGATAAAAAATTTTATTCCCACAGAATTCATAATTAGGGACCTGCACCTCAAAACTCAGTTTGCATGTTTTAATAAAATGATGACCAGGTTAATGATCCCCTGAAGCTCCTGACATGGCCAAACATAAAGCAACTACAGTTCGATGGTACTGCAACTCCAGACCCAGTAATTCTTCTCTTCAAGAAAATACTGATAAAAACAAACTTAACACTAAACCACTGCATACAACAGATGGATCAATACATCACGGTGCTTCAGATAACAGCAGGGTGAGGAGCACAAGAACTGGAGAAACAATCTAAAAGCCATAGTTTTTCTTTTGTTTTTTTCCCAGTGAAATGAATGTTCTTGAATTATCAGGTGCAGACAGTTCTCATTGTGTGCTTGTAAAAAATCAATTCTGAAATGCATATTTTTTATCACTTTGATTCATCCCAGAATGAACCAACATTTTATACGTCTGATGGTGTTCCTTTCACTGCAGCTGATCCAGGTATGTTCTCTCACAATTTTGCCCTTGTTGTAACAAATGACAAGTAAACTACACCCTCCCTAGCACAGGCCAGAGTGTGGTTCTTTTTTTTAAGTATTCACATTCTGAAATGCTAGGATAAAGGGTTATCTCATATAAAATGCTCTTTATACCAAAAGTTGATTTTTGGAGGCAAGGGTTTTTTAATAACCTTTACCAGTTTGGGCTGTTTGGGAGAATAAAGAGAAGACCACACTCCACAGTGGGCTATACCACTTAGTATAGTTCGCTACTATTTTGTGGCCTACAATTAAAAAAAAAAAAGCTCTTTATATTGACTCAAATGGAAAGTAAAGCTCTTATGTAGCCACTCCATCATAACAACGAAGAATCCCTCTATTAAATGCACCCATTTTTATTTCCTTAATATTTTATCTGTTACTAACTTTTGAGTGGTTAGACTAGAGGGGAAAGATGGTTTCAGATCCTTGTATTAGCAGCTTATAGATTAATACTTTTAGATACCAAGACTTCTAGTTAGTAGGCAAAAGATAAAAATTGTGGTAGAAAGGACTGCAATGTGAGAGGGGGAGAAATTTCCCATTAGCAGTAAATGGTATATGAATTCTTCATTTGGTTTTAAATACCCCTTGGTATAAATGACAGCCTATTTTTCCTCAAATTTTCATATTCGTTTGCTCAGAATAGCAGGTACTGACTGTTCTATCCTGTAGCACTAAAGGTCTACGGAACTTTATTTTAAATTATGAAACATTTTGTAAAATAAGTAAACAATTAATAGTGTACTTTTTCACTATCAAGATTTAACCAGTGTCATTTCTCCATATAATATACTTCAGATCTTTTTGAAAGAAAAAACCCTTATAGATTCTACTGAACCTTTCTGTTCCCTAGTTTTTCCCACACCCCAGGTAATTGTAATTCTGAAGTTGTTTTTTGTCATTCCAATGTGCCTTTTTAAATTAATACATATGAACAATAGATATTACACAGTAGTATTAACCAAGTGATATCATACTTACATTCGTTTGCCACTTAGATTCTTCAGTATTTATTTTTGGTATTATCCATGTTGATACATAAGAGTACTTAAAACGTTTGTGGAAAAATCGAATTGAAAGAAAGTTGAATTTTTGAATAAATTAAAAAATTGGGGGGAGCCAACCTTTTTTTTTTTTTTGCCAGCACTTCTTATATAGCTTTATTTTATTCATTTTAAATGTCAGATGATCATTTACTCAGAGTACACCGTTTGTGCATCCTTGACTTTCAGACAGATGGCTGGTTCCCATGTTTTTGTTATTACACCGCCCTTGTGTTCATGTAGGATTTCATTTGAGTGAGGAAGAGGAATTTAGTTTTAGATTCTTTGCATCCTCACTACCACCAAATCTTTGTTGGTTGCTTTCCAGAGGAGTTTTACTACTGATTCAGCTGTGTGGGTTCCTGTTCTTTCATGCTTGGTAACATTGTTGTCAGACTTATATTTCTTACTTTGATTATATGAAATTGTATCTTGCTGTTTTTCAGGTTTCCATAGTAATGCAGAATTTCTTTTCATGCTTCATCCATTCCCTATTCTCCTGCCCCACAATTAAAGAGTTTATTAGGGAAATAAAAGGTTATATAATTCAAGATTATGATCAACTTGGAAATACCAAGAACTCAAAATACTATTTATTTTCATTGGGCTTTTGATTGCTTTTAGAATTTTCTTCCTGTACTCTTTGTCCATTTTTTAGTTGGGTTATTTGATTTCTTATTGATTTGCGATTCTGTACATAAGAATATACTTCTGTATTCTGGAAGTTGATCCTTAGTTTAGAACTGCAGTTAACTTCTGCTATGTGGCTATCTTTTCATTTTGTTGATGGTGTCTTTATCATAAGGAAATGGAATTTGTTTTATTTCAATTTGAAGTTTTATAATTTTTGTTTTATTGTATTTTTGTTGAGTATACACAGCAGAACACACACCAATTCAATAGCTTCTACATGTACAATTCATTGGTATTGCTTACTTTATAACCATGCCCACCTACCTTTTCTTAGCTGTTCTTCCCCATTAACATAAATCTATTGCCCCTAAGCTTCCTATCCAATTCTTTGAGTTAATTTGAAATCCTGTTCTGCATTTCCCTTCCATTGGTCATGACTTTTAGAATCTTTGATCAGATGTTCTGTAATGGTAGCCAGGTACCATCTAGTTCTTTTAGTCATGGCAAAGGAGACAGTTATGCTAGAGGCAACTAACAGTCTGCCTTTTCAAGTCTTTTAGAATTGCTGGTTCACAGGGTGGTTCTGTTTTTAGTTTATTGAACTACCACACCAGTTCCCACTATAGCTGTACCATTTTGCATTTTCACCAATGATGATTAAGGGTTTCTCCCAGATCCACACCATTGTTTGCATTTTTGCTTGTTTGGGGTTGTTTTATTTGTGTTTTTGCATTAGCCATCCTAGTGGGATTGAAATTGCTATCTTATTCTGTTTTTTTATTTTAATCCCTCTGATAGCTAATAACATTGTACATCTTGTTTCATGTGGTTAGTGACCATTTGAATGTTATCTGTGGTTAACTTTATCAGTCTCATTTGTGATTTCTATGACTTATTGAAGAAATCTTTCATAACATTATTAAAATTCTGTTTAATAAGTTTTTGTTGCATTTGTTAATGTATGTCTTTAATTTATCTCATTTATTTTTATGGGTGCAATATAGGAAGAATTGAATATTTTCCATAGCACTCCTGTCTCAGCAAGGAGCCTGTGCATTAGTGGGTACCTGTTGGGCTGCCAACCACAAGGTCAGCAGTTCAAAGCAACCAGCCACTCCAAGGGAGAAAGATAGGGCTTTCTGCTCCCATAAAGAGTTACAGTGTCCGACAGGGACCAACCAGACCAACAGTTCCTGGGGGGCACGGGTGGTGGGGGGAGGTGAGTGGGGAACCAACAATGACCGGTACAGGAGAATAGTAAGAGTTCTAAAATGGATCACAATAAGGGTGTAGCTTTTCTGGATGTGTTTGATCAATCGAATCGTATCTCAGAGGAATTACTGAGAGGTGAATGACAAGCAAGCATAATAGTGGGATAGGAGGAAAGTGTATGTGTGTGTAAATGAACGTGTATATTTGTGTATATGTGTATATCTATATATATACATACAGATATATATATATCTATATATATAGATATAGATATATATATAAATGCAACAAGGAAGCAGATGGACTTCGGGCCTCTACTTAAATCTACTCAGTACAAGAACGGTTTGTTCTAATAATGTGGCACTGTTTGATACCCACCTTCTTAACATAATCACTGAATGATACCCACCTCCCTGACATGATCGCTGAAGACAAAATGGGTGCATAAGAAAATGTGGTGAAGAAAACTGATGGTACTATCAAAAGCTGTAACAATCTGGGTCCTTATAGGCTTGGAGTTAAACATGCAGCCATCTAGCAGGGAAGCAACAAAACCCACAAGGAAGAAGCACACCAGGCTGTGTGATCATGAAATGTTACTGGGAAGAGGTATCAGAAGTTTGAAAACATGCATCCAAGTGATATGAAGGGGACTGGATGTAGTGGAGACCCGAAGCCCACCATCAAGACAATTGGACAGTCCCTATTAGAAGGGCCTCATGGGTGCAGTGTGGCGCTGATAAACCACATAACTATCTTCTAGTTCTTTAAGATTTCCTCCCCTTACTGTTAGGGACCGTACGGAATATACCTCATTGGTCATGTTAGACTTGTGTATGTTCATTTGTTCATTTAAGATCTCTCGATACATGGTAGTCAAGATAGGTGATTGCTTAGAGACACTGACCGGAGTAATGGTTCCCTGAGGGTGGTATGGGGAGTAAGAGTGGGGGAGGGAGGAGTTGATAGTATTGATGATTGTATAGCCCCACCTGGTGGGACTGAACAACAGAACTGTATGGGAAGGAAAAGAATATATCGGAATGAGTAAGATATGTTAATGAAAATATTTTTTTGAAAAGGAGCTACAGTCTCAGAAACCTACGGACGCAGCTCTAGTGGCAGTGCGTTTGGTTTTCGTTTATTGTCAGCAGCAGTCTTCCTTTTCTTAGCTATAATGCTCACTTTTGTGTACCAGTTGGCTCCCATATAAATTTGTGTATTTTATTCCTGTATTTATACACATGGCTCTTCCTTTGGTTTATGTGGATTCACACTGGGGGCGCTCTTTCTATCGTTGGTGCAGTCTGTGCTTTCTACCAGAGCTTATAAAACAAGTCCCGCTTTCCCCTTTTCTTCACCTGGGTTCATTTTGGTGCTTTGGTTTTAATCTGTGTTGAATCTTCTTGTTTATCTTATTTAATTATTTCTAGCATCTACTTTGTATGTAGAAATGCAGTTTGTTATTCAAATCATTTTGTTCAAAATAACGTCCTTAAAGTTTCAAGTACTTTTTTCTCATCATCCTAAACATGCTTATTTTTATCACACATGGGAAATTGTTTCTTGCTTGAGTTTTGGGGGTTCCACCCTACTGGGAAATAATCTTTAAGTGTCTTGAAAACTTAGTTGGAAATTATTTCAAATTTACAGAAAAGATACAGAAATAAAAGAACATACATCTAGTTTTCCCCCAGATGTACTTTTTATCAACAATTTACTTCGTTTGCTGTATGATTTTTGCTCTCTTGACACACACATGTACACACCCACACACACGAGTAAATTTATATTTATGAGGGGATTTCAAAAGTGGAATTAAAAGAATGAAAATAGTCCATGAAATTTTTGAAGCCCTCGTATATTATGGCCTTTTAATAAATGTGTTACTTTTTCAACTTAATTTGTTCTTCATGCATAAAGCAGCCTTGTGTTTGGATCATGGAAACATCTGTCAAAGTGAATTTTATATTTGCTTCTACCAGGAGTCACAGGATTATCACTAGTTTGGGACAACTTTTTATTTTTTGTCAAAGAGGTCTTTGATGTAGGTAGTAAAGCTTTGAGGTGCAGGCCCAGCAATACACATTTTCAGGAATGCCACTTTCTATAGAGTACATCTGTCTCAGTTCGAAACAAGCAAGATTTATTTCTGCCATCTCCCTTTACTGCTGCTTGTTTTTAACTCCTGTTCTTCCTGATCCACCCTTTTTGTCAGATAGTAACTCTTTCAGTATCCTAGGTTTGTGCTGGTTGAAATAGGATTAGGATCTGAATTCCAGACTCCTATCTCACTTGGGGCCCAAGGTTCAGTTTTCTGACCAAGGTGTTTACGCCCTTTGGTTTCAGAGCCCAACACCAGTCTTTCAAGTCTCCTAGCTCTACAGCACTTTTGGTAGTTATATACGAAAGTGTGTTAAAACTTATTGCTAAAAAAATCACAGAAACCTTTTTACTAGACAAAAATATCAAAATGTGACGTGATTGTTTCCCAGCACATTCTCCTTCTTAACACTTCTGAATTCTGCATTTCCATCTCTCTAATGCTTCTCCAAAGATCTTTGCACTCTGCAGTTTACACCACATCGAAATGGCCATTTGGGCATCCTTGTGGGGGGACTCAAATCATGTGTTCCTTGTAATTGCTAAATTATAGGAACAAAAAAAATCCTGAGGGGGCAAAATCAAGACTAAGGTAGATGGGCTGAGGTTACCGATGAAGTTTTCATGGGACAGCCCTTGCTACCCTTGAAGAATGAGCGGGTGTGTTGTCGTGATGGAAATTAGTTCCTTGGTGCCACTTCTGTAGCCATTTTCTCACCAATACAGTTTTCAGTGTTCTCAAAATTTCTTCGTAATAAGCTGCTGTGATCATTCTGTGTCCCGGGTGGGGTGGGGGAATCTATCAATTACTCTTTTGGAATTCCAACAGTCACCATAACCTTTGGAGCTGACCTCCCGGACTTGAATTTAACTGGCCCAGCAGATCCCCTAGGAAACCACTATTTGGATTTGGCCTTTTTTTTTTAAGGCCGCTTAAGAAGTCTAAGAGAAAATATATTACCAAGAGGACTTATCGACAGCTGTCCACTAGTTGCAGAGTCAGGTTTCAGCATCTTTGTTAGGAGGAAACCTGTGCGTGCGTGTGTGCACAGGGACCTGAGTCCTAGTCGCACTGCCCTTTGACTTACCCTTGTACACCTGCTCCCGGCTGATCATCTGTTTCTGATCTCACCTTATGAATTTACAATAGTAAAGAAAATTCTGTCGTCCAGCTCTTGTGCTAAGGTGCTCAGCAAGAGTAATGTTGACTGTGATATTTAAAATTAGGCATCAGCATGCCCAGGTCATGATTTTATGTGGTTTGGCATTTAGTTATAAGGTGGCGTAATTTGAGTTAGTGCAATGATGTATAGTCATCTTCCATTTTGTGATCTAATGTGGTCATCCTCCATTTTCACAAAATCACAACTGTGATATAATGAATGACCTGATCTTTCCGAATGAACAATAACAGTGAGGAGTGAGTGGGTATAGATCACTCTGTTTTACTTTCTCTTTCTACCCTCAACTCACTTGGCTTTATTTTCAGTGAATCCAACAGTTTAAAAGAAGGCTTTATGTAGTATCCTTAAATGTTGATGATAACAATTTAACTGGTAGTCCACGTAGTCACAACCAGAGGTCAAAATGTCACCAGCCCTTTAAGTTGCAACAGCATAGTTTTAGAGAGATTGAGAAGCTTGGATAAACAAGATTTTTACCTAGTGTAAAATATTTTTAGTTTCAAAACTTGAGGTGGCTGATGGTCATAAGAAAATATTTTTAAGTTAACTAATTTTAATAAAAATTATTCAGAGCTAAGAACTTCCTAACCTGTACTACCAACCCATTGCCCTCCAGTTGGACATGGCTTACCACAGATCCTGTATAGCCACAGGGCCACCAGGCTTCCTTCCTAAGACATGCTAATCTTACAGGGTCCCAGTAAAGAGAACGCTTCTCTGCTAAGACACTTGGTCCCTGGAGATCTAGATCATCACCTCTTTTCCCTTGGAAGAGGTTGGGGTCTGGCAAGGCTGAGACATCTGTGAGCCTTTAAACTGTCTTTCAGAGCAGGAAAGAAAAAGAAAGCTCCTGTGCAGAGAACCTTTGGTAGGCTAGCCCTTTCTGACAGAAACATGGCCTACTAGTTGCCAGCTTGCTAACCAGATAGCTCCCACTTTAACTCCTTAGGGAGGAGTAATAGGGGATCTGTTAGCCAGGAGTGTTTGCTTAAAATCCTTCCGTGTGGAAGAAAAAAAGCAGGAGTGTATTCTGGAGAAGAATATCCAAAGGACCAAAAAAAAAAAAAAATCATGGAATTTCTCACAAGGGTTTTTTTTACTCATGTACATAATTGAAGATTCATAAGCGTGCCCTGGACCACAATAGCATGCCAATTAAAATTAAAATTTTATAAAAGCTATATCTGAGACACATAATTGAGAGTTTAATGAGAATGAGAATTTGGAGTAGGACATATGTGATTCTCTGTTATATTTTTTTCTCAGTATTAATTTATTTTATTTATTATCTTATAGATTACCAAGAGAAATATCAAGAACTACTTGAAAGAGAAGACTTTTTTCCAGATTATGAAGAAAATGGAACAGATTTATCGGGGGCTGGTGATCCGTAAGTTATCTTTAGTTAGTAATTTTACTTGTGATATTTCTCTGGCTCATTTCCACAGGAGTTTAGATTAGAAAATAGTGGCGATAAGGGAACATGTATATTGATTTCTGTGGTGGCATACATGGTAGTACTTAACAACAGTTTTCAGAAAATCATACTAGAAAACTCAAGTCAGATTTTGAAAATGTGTATGTAGTTAAGGGTCCAAAAAAACACCAAACCCCTGTTAATATGTGTACTTAAGCACAAAATTTTTTAATAGTTCCATCATACTTAAGTAGCTCTAAATTTACTGCAAATCTTTTTTTTGTTTTGTTTTGAGTGAAAGCAAAGTTTTTGATAGTTTGTTCTCATAGATAAGATACAGGCCATCTCTGGAAAGTGTGGCCACATCTTTAATTTAAATTGAGCAAGTTCTATGCCTGTTTCTCAGTTCATAAAATACATGACATTAACAACTAAGGTTTTATGAGTATGCATAAAATGTACTTGGAACATCCCTCTGGCCCATAGTAAAATACTCAAATTTTAGCTATGAAGGATAAATTATGATTAGAGAAGACACAGGGTATTACTGGATGAAAATGTTTGGCCTGGCAGGAAGATATGTATAGCAATTATGTTCTCAAATGTCAATTTCTTTACTTGACAATCTCTGTAATTAAAAAAAAGTGGTGTATTACTTACTTGCCATCAGACTGTATGGTTTTGCTTATAGAAGGACCAGTGCTTGTGAGGTTTAGTCCCAGCTCTGTTACATACAAATGCATGAATGTGGGTGAGCTGCTAAAATTCTTTTTCTAAGGAAAAGAAGAATAAATACGTTACTTTGATTTTTCTTATTCCATTTCTTTTTTTTTTCTTATTCCATTTCTTGTGTATGTTAAAGGATTCTTTTTTAATTAGGTGAATCTATTCTTTTGAATCTAGTGGTATTTAATCATTGACTAGTTTGATATCTAGTTATATTGGTGTACTTTTTAATATGATAGTTTAGTAATGAAAACAAAAAAAACAAGGACATAAGATCCAAGCAAAAGTTATCTTCTGAAGTTATGCTGGGTAAGGATCACACACTTCCACCCTGATGAACTCAGCTGCATCAGCGTATTGCCCTGTACTGGAAAATGCAGGCCAAAGGAAAAACACCTGTCTCTAATGACAGGACCGCCAGAGAGTAGGTGGCACTTTGAAGTGGAAATGGATAGCGGCGCGGAGGTGTAGAAGAGCATGACATTATGGGGGAAAGTGTAGAAAGGGTAAAACATTTGGAGTCAAAATCTGAACTTAACACAAAACCAAGATAATGCTTTATTCTTTTAATCTCCCTGTGTTCCTCAGCCCCAACATAAAAATGGTTGTAGACCTTATCCTTTTACAGTGGTCATGAAAATTCAGTAAGAAGTGTACAGTAAGCCCTTGATTGACATTTTAAATACCCCCTCCACTATACATATATACATAACACCCTGGAAGATATTGTTTTTCTACTATCTTTTATTTTATTTTTTTTAAAATCATTTTATTGGGGGCTCATACAACTCTTATCACACTCCATACATCCATTCATTGTGTCAAGCACATTTATACATTTGTTGTCCTCATTCTCAAAATATTTGCTTTCTACTTGAGCCCTTGGTATCAGCTCTTCATTTTTCCCCTCCCTCCCCTACCCTTCCTCCCTCACGAACCCCTGATAATTTATAAATTATTATTATTTTCATGTCTTAACATTGACCATTGTCTCCCTTCACTCAGTTTTCTGTTGTCCGTCCCCCAGAGAGGGTTATATGTAGATCTTTGTGATTGGTTCCCCCTTTCTCCTTCTCCCCTTCCCTTCCCTTCCTGATATTGCTACTCTCATTATTGGTCCTAAGTGGTTTATCTGTCCTGGATTCCCTGTATTTCCAGTTCTTATCAGTACCAGTGTCCATTCTCTGGTCTAGCTGGATTTGTATGGTAGAATTGGGATCATGATGGAGGTGAGGGGGAGAAGCATTAAGGAACTAGAGCAAAGTTGTGTGTTTCATCTGTGCTATACTGCACCCTGACTGGCTCATCTCCTCCCTGAGACCCTTTTGTAAGGGGATGTCGAATTGCCTGCAGATGGGTTTTGGGTCTCCTCTACTAGTTTTTAACTATGTAATAATTGAAGGGGAAAAAAAACTAGATGATCTCAAAGGTAACTTCCTGTTAGGAAAATCTAATTACAATTAAATAGGGATGTGAATAAATTTTCATTGAAGGAATCAAAGCTAGTTGAGTTCTGATTGTATGGAAGTACGTGGCACACTGAGATGAAGATGTAAAGTATTACAGACTCTCCAAATTCAGAATACACTTGTGAAACAACTTGTTAAATGAAGCATGCTGTTGTCTAAGGAATGACACGTAGGTAATCTTCAAACAGTTATTCCCTGGTGTCCTGGTAGAGACCATCCTATCTCTATGTTATTTGTTCATGGCTTAGCATAGACATTTTCTGAATGGAACACTATTAAACCTGTAATTTATTTTTGCATCTTTTACAGATACTTGGATGATATTGATGATGAGATGGACCCAGAAATAGAAGAAGCTTATGAAAAGTTTTGTTTAGAATCAGAGCGTAAGCGAAAGCAGTAAAGATAAGTTTCAGCATATCAGATTTATACAGCAGTTTAGATATGGTGATTTAGCAGAACACAGGAAAGCAAGAAAATGCATCACACGTATACCAAATTAAGGATATTGAGTTATGTTACTAATGTATGCAACTTTTAATTTTCTTTAACACTATCTGCCAAAATAAACTATTCCCTATAACTTAAAATGTGTATATATATATAATAGTTTATTATGTACAGTTAATTCCACTGTTTTGGCTGCAATAAAATCGATTTTGAAATAAATGAAATGTTGAAAGTAAATTTTGCTAGATGGTTAGAAGCAACATATCGTTTAAATTCTACTTTTCTTTAGGAGTCTTAGCCTGAAAATAGAATGACTACAGAAATGTAGCATTCATTATGAATATTACAGCTTTCATTTCAGTCTGAACTTAAGTGTCTCATTGAGATTCCACATATGAATCACAGTCATGAAAATCTTGGGCACTAAAATCTTGGATTATGATATTAACAACTGATGTTACATATGCAGGTTCCTGTTTGAAACCAAGGGCTTTTATAATGTTACTAAAAAATGACTTGGAGAACTCCAACAAAATAACCAAGACTCTTCACTGAGGGTTTATTCCAATTCTATAATTGTTCTTCCAGTTACTTTTATGCTTAAAAAAATTTTTTTTCACCTGACTAACTTCATTTCCCTAAGGCCTAAAACAGTCCTGCTATATTTACAAGGCTTTTTCTTTTTATTTTGTAGTATGAGTTATGTTGACTTTTTTACTAGACAATTTTACTGGATCTTTGTCCCTTGAGTTTTCATCTGCTTTATAATTGATACACCCAGAGGATCACTTTTCTAATACTTTACTATATAATATGGCACCACCCTGCCCTATTTAAGTAATATTTTTATCTAATGTCAAAATTCTTTTTCCAACTAACTAAAAAATAAAACTTATATTAAAAAGAACTGCTTGTAAATATGCATGTAAATAGTTCTGCTAATAATCCGCTGTTTTACATTTGGTACATCTGTGTCAGCCAATACAATTAGCTTTCTTACACTTCTACTTGTTTGCCCAGTCTGAATTAAAATTAGACTTTGAAAATAAAATATAAATAGTTCTGTTTCCTCTAAGTGTTTGGAGTAGTACCCTGATACTTTAAATAATTTGCTGTTAAACAGTTTTACCTGGCACACAATAAAATTACTTGGAGGTCTGAAATGAGAAAACATATTAGAATAGTAGTAATTCTATTCAGTGTCTATTAAATAAAGAGTTTGGTTCAGCAAGCCTTCATGGAAAAATTAGTAAATGTAAAAGATTAATATATCCAGATTTCTTATTGTAATAGAGATATATATATGTCAGGAGTTTGGGTAAATTGTTGTATTTAGAATTCTTTGTTTGAAAATGGCTCCTGTAACATGGTGGTTATAACCATAATCTGCCTTCGTCTAAACATAGTGATCACTGTATCTTTGGTGAGGAGGGTGGAGGAAGGGGGCAGTACATTAGACCAGGGCTAAGGGAGACAGATTGTGCATACCTAAAACTTCTCGCAGTTTGAAATAGCCACCCAGTTTGTGTGCATTAGTTCATTATCTCCAACTACTACTGTGTTCACAGTAGCCACTAACAGGAGCACTATTAGCAGTATATTCCAGTTACTAGTCCATCTTAAAATTAACAGCCATTTAATTGTCCTGGATTCTATAGTTCAGCAATTTCTATCACAACAGGGAGGTATGGTAAGCCAGAATGAGCCAGTGCTTACCGGAAACTAGGATTTGACCAGGACTCTTGATGAGAACCACTTACACATGACCTCTCTATGTGACGACGCACAGCTGGATTTTAAGAGGAGGGCGCATTCTGAGAGACGCTGCATTCCCAAGTCCTGCAGTACTACATCCCCAGATTCTTGTTTCTAAAGCAGTCACTAGGGTCCTATCTGATTCAAGGGAAAGGAACACACCATCGCTACCTCTGTCCGAGAGGCCATGGAACTAAGGTGTGTGCCAGGAATGGGGTTTTACAGGACTTGAGCTTTGGGTCATTTTGGAGGATCCTAGTCCCTGGGTTGCTGTGGGTTGCTGTGAGTTGCAATTTGCAGATGGTGTAAGCTAATCTACCAACCTAAAGGTTGGTGGTTCAGACCTACCCACAGTGCTATGGAAGAGAGCCTAGCCATCTGCTTTAGTACAGATTACAGCCAAGAAATCTGCAATTGTACTTTTAACATGGGATTGCCATGACGTGGATCACTTTGAATGCCTGTTTTGTTTTTCAGTTTTTTAGGGGGTGGGGGTGGGAATGGCAGAACGCTGGTACAATTCTCTAGCTGGGTATGTAAAAAAATCTGTACAGAGGGCAGAAGAGTAAGACTAAAGCTGTTTGGGTTTTTGGTTTTTTTTTTAAAAACATTTTATTAGGGGCTCATACAACTGTTATCGCAATCCATACACACATCAATTGTGTAAATCGCATTTGTACATCATTCTCAAAACATTTTCTCTCCACTTAAACCCCCAACATTAGGTCCTCATTTTTCCCCTCCCTCCCCGTTCCCTCCTCCCTTATGAGCCGTTGATAGTTTATAAATTGGTATTTTGTCATATCTTGCCCTGTCCATCGCCCTTCACCCACTTTTCGGTTGTCTGTCCAACAGGGAGGAGGTCACACATAGTTCCTTGTAATCGGTTC